TTGATCCCAGTATGATACTGGAACCAGTATCATACCGGAACCGGTGTTTCATAAACCAGTATCAAATTGATCCCAGTATGATACTGGAACCAGTATCATACCGGAACCGGTGTTTCATAAACCAGTATNATATATATTATGCGTGTGTAGCTTTTTATAAGAGTTTAAAAATTAATATGTATCTACAATTATGATACTTAATTATCAGTCAAAATTTTCATACAGCTGCTGCTATCAAATTTAGAATAAGCAATTGTGAGTCTTATACTTAAATAAAACTTGCACTATTTTTTCCTAACTACTTAAATAAAATTATTAACAATAATATTAAAGAAGGTTTTTCATACATTATTACCATTAATCAACCTATTTTAGATTTTATTAAACAAAACAAAATTAAATCTATAGCGACCTAAGATATCTAAGATCTCGTTATTAGTATTCCACTTTCTAAACTAAAAGATTTTTTTTAATGTTATTACTATGATTATAAAAATAACCTTAATTACAAATTTGATTTCTAAGAAATTCTAATTAATATGTGCCTTTTTAATAATTATATTTATAATGGAATTTTTTTTTATTCAAATAGATGAAATATCACAAGAATCTAATTTTTCGTCCCTTATGGCTAACTTATTTTGACACTTATATGAAAAAAATTATACTCTAAATATCAAATTTTTTTTAAAATTTGTTGAGGCTTTCAATATCTTTAAAACTATATAGTTTTGTTAAATAAAATTTACCTGGAGGAAGCAATATTGGTTCGTAATCATGACGATAATATTAATTAAAAAAATTTTCTTGGTTGAAGTATTAAAAAGAAGAAAATATCTGCATTATTGACATACTGAGAATGTCTGCATTATTGACATATTGACAATGTCTGCATTATTGCCATACACGAATGATTTTAAAATTAATATAAATAAATTAATTACACTGAATTCTAAGGTTTAAAAAATATTTATTTTAATACTATTTTTAATCAAATTAAAAGTATTAAATGAATTTGTAGTAATATTTATTTATCCAAAAAACAAATAGACTTACTTTTCCGAAATTTGATTGAAAACAATGGATACTTAATTAAATTCTACACAAAATCCTTGAGTTAATTGTGTATTAAAATTATTTAATGAATATATTTCCATAAAAATCTTATAATTATCTAACTTTTTAGCATGTGCAAATTCAATTCCGTAGGTAAAAATGTTATACCTCCAAACAACAACCTCTTTCATTGAATTAAAATCTTTTATTTAAAATTCGTTCGGTTAAAATTCGCTTAGAATAATTATTTTTTTAAATTGTTCTATTTTAACAATTGTAAACTTTGAAATATCCAATAGAATGTATTATTAGCTTTCGCAGATACAGTTTCCGATTTTCATATTTTGAAATTTGGTTATGAAAACATTTCTAATTAATAAGCAATTCCAGTTATGAACATATTTCTAAATAATTTTTGCAAGACATGACAACTGTTTTGCTTTTACATGTTCTTTGTTGTTCCTATTTGTGTTTTGTCTCGAATTTGTGTGAGTCCTAAAACTTTTATTTTTTTATCTCTCCTCAAGCAATTCGATTGATATGGCTAAATTAATATAGTATTAGAATGCACTATTTTTGAGGAGTTTTTCTTCTTATTTTGGAAGATTTGTAATTAACATTTGTTTCAATATTTTTGGTCTTTTTCTCCAATAAACAAAATAATGGAAACTTTCGATACCAACACATCTTTGGATGTTTCTCAAAAAATACTTGAGAATCAATTTATTTATTTAAAAGTGTTTAGATCATGTGATGTCTCATACATATCAATGAAGTTCAAAGCTTTTTAAGGTTTGATGGACCATCTATAAATTACAAACGAAAAAATTTTTTTGATCACCCTATGCCAAAAAATATCGTAATATGTAAGTTGCAACTATTATTTTGGTTATTATATGCAATAATTGCATGCACAAAATTTCGTAAACCTAGCTTGAATATTTATAAGGATATGGACATTTTTATAAAAAACGAATTTTTTTGTCTTACGCTTTTTTGCTATAACTTATGTAACAAAATTCGTTAAAAACTGCGCAAGGTATTAGTTTTTTTATGCTGCGCATGAGCGAAAAAAATTAAAAACTTTTTTTTCTTCTTAATTTTGTAGTGAATCGTATTTGGCAACCAATAAAAAAAGTTTGATTTGAATAATTCAAAAAGTTTCAAGCAATTTTCTAAGTAGTTTTCTTACTTTTTAGAAGAAAGCTCAAAATTATAAGGAGTTTTCCACATATTTTATTTTTGTAGTATTAAGCACGATTTATTAACAAATGATAATACCCTTCTAATGATAGCCGTACAACAAAGTGTGATGGTACTAGGAAGTACAATATACGAGAGAAAAGATACTTTTATGAGGGAGGATCAACAACAATGCAGGTGTCATTTTTATTAAATTTTGTTTAATTGTACAAAATGAAATTTAGGGAAAACCCATAAAAATTTTGAACTTACTTTTAAAAATTGAGTGAAACTTTTTAAACTTTTGAAATTTGTCGCCAAGTACTGCAAAATTAAGAAAAAAAGTTTTTAATCTTTCGACGCATGCTCAGTCTAAAAAACTACTTTAATTGCTCATATCTTGAGCAGATTTAAATTTTTTTTTTTCAAATTTTGAAGAAATAATATTGAGATCAATTTTAAATTTATCTATAAGTTTTGCTACATTTTATTCAATATTTCCAAAGTTATCGTAAAAAAAAAGTCAATCGTTTTTAATAAATTGTCTATATCTCCATAAACACTCAAGCTGGGTTTACGAAATTTTGTGTAATTATTGCATATAATAACCAAAATGATAGTCGTAAAGTTAAAAATTTAATACGACTTTTTTTGGCAAAGACATATCTTTCCGTCTGTAATTTAATTGACGGTCCGTCGAACCTCAAAAACCTTTAATGATGTGTATAAGAAATTGCACGATCTAATCACTTCTAAGTATGCAAACTGACTCTCAAAATAATTTTTGAGAAATATCAAAAAATGTGTTAGTATCGAAGTGTTTCGATTATTTTGTCCAATTCCTGTATATATATATATATATATATATATATATATATATAGCATTTTAATAGTTTTAACTCATACCTCGTACCTTTATTTTCTTAATGAAGCCAAAAAAGGTAAAATTGGCTTTCTAAAATAAAAATTTTATAGAGGTTACAAACATATAAACCACCTTGCCATGTGACGCCATTTTGTTAAAATGAGTCTGATTTAAAAATGGCCTCCAAACTCTTAAATTCGATCCAAGAATTCTGAAAAAAATATTGCTACTTTCGAACAAAAAATTTTCATGAAAATCTGTGGTGTGGTCGATTTTATTTGGAATGAGCCACGCAGTTTTTTAGTTGTGTAATAAGGATATTTGTATTATAATTTATAAGTGAACTATATTAAATACTTTTATTATGTATAATCTGCCTTGGTTCTGTTAAGCATAGTTCGGCTTCTACACGTACACTGTGGTGTTCTCCGAATTTGGCGTTGAACAACTCTAAAAGTTGCGTGAAAGAACACTTTTTTCCAAGTTAACACTAAATCGAGATTTCATATAAAATTTAAAGCTCTAAACACAATTCATTAAATATTTCCAAAAACAATAAAGCTGGAACGTTTTGATTTCGTTGGCAATTGTTTAGAATCAATAAAGAACTGTTTTCAATGCTGCTCTTCATCTGCAGTTCATATTTAAAAATGTGTATGTATGTTTTTAGTTGTGCAATAAGAACATTTTAATACAGTTTACATTGACTTGAAAATTAAATGATTTTTTATAATTTCTATCCGTTCCTGCTCTGTTTAGCCTATTCTCTCTGTGCTAAGCGTATGTTTGATTTACAAAAAACTTTTATTTTGAGAACCTATATTACTTATTCTTACTTTATACTGTCTCGTAAAACTAACCTGAATGATTCTTATGTGCATCATATCTAACTATAATTATAAATTGTATTAAGAGTAAATAACAAATATAGTGGTGTCTCCTTTACACTAAGTAGGGTATTCTAGGTGGGTTACTTCACTGTCCTAGGATTTTGGCGTATGATTCATTTTTGGTGTTCAGATATTCAAAAGTGTTTGATTTATAAACTAATCATATTTTAAGAATTAGTGAATTTAAGATTCTTATTTTGTATTGTCTCGTTAAAATACCTTTACTGTCTCTTATCTTACTGTAATTAGTGTTACTAAATATCAAAAATGGTGCCGTGATATTCTTAGTGTTTCACTACGTCTACACCACTCAGTGTCAAGTAGCTGCCACCATTTTTGGTGTTAAGATATACTTCAATTTTCAATATTAACAAACAACTCTCATTTATTTTTTACTTATTGTAAATACAAATATACAACAAACATAAATGCTTAGTTTGAAGACATCAAATAAACCACTTTGAGAATGCAAAAGAATATGATAATTATACAGAGTCAGCCACAATTGTTCAGTAAAGCTGCAGAAAGCGCTCTGGCATTTCAAATGCATGATTTCAACACTTATTACATTTAATTAAAAGATGATTGAATAAAAATAGAAATTTTTCACTTGCGTAAAATTTCGACTGTATTTCATTGTCTTCTAACGAATATCGGCAAAACTTCATTAATACGGTAATTAAATAAAGCTTCTTCAATCAATTCGTCGTTCTTATAAAGAACACGAAGATGTCAAAGAACCACACTCTTCGACGAATGACTTATTCGTTTTGATTCAACAACGTCAAGACCCGAACTAAAGGTAGTTCATTCGAACGCAACCTTAATTTAGGGTTCATATATTTTCACAAAATGATTTTTTTGGCTCGTTTTGCTGGCATGAATTTAGTTTTTCTCTGTCTTTTTTTTCCAGTCTCTATATAGGGTTGAATTTTTCGGTGTGTTTAATGCCCAGCCTTTACTTTATGAGATATATCTTTTGCTTTAAATACAATTCTTTAGGTTTAAATACAATATGGAACTGTTTCTGGAAAAGTCATATAACTTTTTTCAAATGAAATTTTTTTACAAAATTTAATTATTTCCAGTAAAACTCTCATCTTAAAATTCGTTCAGATCTAAAATGATTAACTTTTTGCCTTTTAATCAAAACGATGCTTAGCCAAATCATTATCTTTAATAATTAAACTAAATATTATCGGTTATTTATTTTTATGAAAAATACTTTTTCCATAGTAAGAAGATCTAAATGGAATCTTTTGAAGAATTCGGGCAGAATATTAAGCATACAACTCACATCTAAAGATAGACATTTGATACAGATATGGCACAGAATATGATTGAATTCAAACCTTTCAGTAAGTATTTATATTTGTTTATTTTTTCTTTCTTTGACTAACCAATTTAATACTATAAAGTCTGAATGAATAAAATTTGAACCAAAATCGGTAGATTAGTTTCGAATATGACCAATTTTAAAAAGTAGTATATTTAAAATATGATTTATAGAGAACTATTCAATCTAATTAGAATTACACGTTTAATTAATTAGCACACTTAAAGTTATGACTTTAAAATACTTAAATTGAGTCTTAGTATGATAAAACCCGATAATTAAACAAAAGTTAATCAGTTTTTTACTCACTGTACATTCTAATTTCTGTGGTAAGATAATACGCTGGATATATAGGGGTTGGGGGACTTAACAAGATAATGTTTATGATTGTCACTGACGGAACTTAATCCATTTTAAGTTAGATCATCAAACAAACAGTAAATCCTGAAGAGATATTTGAAATTAATTATCAACAAGATAAATTTTTTTGGAGCAGAACGATTTGAATATCTTAACTCTGGATCCAAATGTTAGGAAACTTAATTTGGCTGCAAAAAGAAAACTGCAGTCACATTAAAAGAGCCGTGGGGGCTCGGGGGATAGAGCGTTCGCCCTCCAATGAGGTGAACCGGGTTCGAATCCCAGTGATGGTTGATGGATTCGAATTCCGCACCCGTCTCGCACAGTGCGGACGAAAAATATCCTCAGTGGTAGACGGATCATGGGTTCGAGTCCCTTTGCCGTCAGACTAACCGTGCAAGGTTTTCATCTCCATGTAACGCAGATGCGGGTTAGTTCCTTCAAAAAGTCCTCCACGAAGGCAGAATTTATCCCTATACTTGATCCAGGAGTTCCCCTGTCTTCTGGATTGAATTCAAAATTACAAGGCTATGGAGTTGAACATCAGTAGTCGTAAATCCAGTATTGGGTCGTCTGTTCAACGACGGTTATAAAATAAAATAAAATCACATTAGAAGTTAAACTAACTTCTTTTAAAAATGAACTAATAGCAAATTTTTTAATCAGTCATAAGCATTATATACCTAATTTGTTTATAAAAAACAAAACCATTTTTTTAAAACTCTGAATAAACTTAAATTGTATTAAAATTTAACAAAATTATTTGAATATTGAGCTAATTTTTTTTATCAGTCATAAGTAATACGAGTTTTGGTTGTAAGCAACAAAATCTTGAAAAACTGTATAACTGCTTTTTTAATAATAATAAAAGTTTAGCAAAATTACATTAATTATTATCACAAAATAATTTTGATTCGCTTTCTTTTGTGCATGGATTTTGATAAAATTTCAAGATATCTTCCTATTTTTAGGATGCACTACTCTGAAGTTTAAATCAGTAAAATTTAATGAATATAACATTACCTTGATAAAAATTATTTATTTGCATCACGAGATGACGAAAAAAAAAACATTTTTAATACTATGATTGTAACGCGACAAATCTTTTTATTCTCTGTCGTCACCTGAAATGTTTACAAATCTTCCAACCTTCCTTGAGAAACAGTTTTGTTACATGAAAATATTTCATAAAATTTTCATTGATTTTGATTATTTTCATTTAGGTAAGCTTATAATGGTGGAGTTATTTGACCTTAATAAATGGCCTCTTTAAGGAACACTGTTGTTGATGATTCAACTTGTTAATAGAAAAACACTTATCTTATTTGTAAACTCTAGATTATTTACAAAAGCGCGAATTATTTGAAACTTTTTTTATGCTACATTGATTTAGTTCTTTTTATTCCGAAATTAGTTCAGACAAAATATGAATTTTGCATAAGCAAAATCTCACTTGAAAATTTATTACAATTCAAAAACGGACAAAATACAATAGCGTGATTCATTCTGCGAAAATCGATTCTGGTTAACAACCGTCATTAATCTGTCTTCTCATTGGTTGAGTTTGAAGAAAAGCCGTTGAAGATGCTCACTTAGTATTTCATGGACATTTCAATAACATATTGACGACCACTAGTGAAGAACTTTTTGTAATATCAATGAAATTGATAGCAAAAGTTTAATCAAAAGTAAATCTGCTCTAAAATATTTCAAGAAATAAAAGGTTAAATTGAAAGAGGTCAAAATAAAAAACATAGTTTAGTGTGGAGAAATATTAGAGTTTGAAGAGATTCCGAGATCCGATCTTTAAATAATTAGAAGAAAATAAACTCATAAATGCCATTAACAATTATCTCGACTGAATTATTATTTTTAGCTATTTTTAATAATTGCATAAAAAACATAAATTTTAATGAAATTTCTACAAATTGCAGGATATTCATAGTGTGTTTCTTCACTAATGAAACATCAAATAGTAAGATATTTGTTTTCAATAAAATTGCCCAAAAAATTACTCTCGTATAATTTTGTCTTTATAAGTAAAAACTCCGGCAAACAAGATAAAAACCAATTATATAGACACTTTGTAAAGACATGCAAAAAGAGTATTTCCTTTAAGAAATCTTGAATAACTTTTGATTTTGTGATTGGATCTTTATGTACTCAGTTTAATTGGCTTAAAATGGTTGCTTCAAACCGGCTTATTAATTAATGCAGACGATATTTTAAAATACGAAACACAAAAACATTTCTCTGAATAAAGCTTTCGACTGATTTCTGCAATCTAGGAAATATGGTCCATATTTCCTAGATTGTGGCCCCTATTAGCCTCCTAATAGCGGTTGCAAGTTTTAAGCGAATTGAAAACCTTTTGCCCACAATTATGAAGTTCGCATATCCAAAGGTAATCCCATGATAAAAATAACTTTTAGTAAATATTTTTATAATTTTTTCAACAGTAGTCGAAAACTTTTCATTTGTAAGGTAGGCAAACATTAATCTAAAGAATGTAATTTTATATAGCAAAATAAGAAATTTGGACGAAAGAAATATCATCTGCACTAATCATCCCTTGGAAGGTTTCATTTTCTATCACTTTTGTTTGAGTTCTTTCCACCATGTTTAATCCGATCCAAGAGTGATTGTTTTGAGCGTCGACGAAAAACATTAACTTCTCGAAAAAGTTCACTAAATGCATCTGCAACTTGATGAACATGTTCGGATGCAGCTATTTCGGAAAAAGAGGCTTCCACTTCTTTTGCAAGCTTTTCCCCTGTAACACAAAATATACTTTATTTTATGCTCCATATATAGGGTTAAACATCAAACTCTCGCAACATTCTAGTATTTTATTAAATTCAGTATTGTCATTTAATTATTACCACACTGAGAAATTCCGATGTTTGTGATTTTTTATTTTGATTTTTGATTAAGATTATGAAAATACACATTATCGGTGGCTTTAAAGAAAAATCCTGCATGCAAATACACAGTGGTCAAAATGGCCCATGAAACATTTATAATATCAATGATAACTTATATATTAAAACTAACCATCCTGTATATTAGGCTGGGTTTAAAACTAAAAATTATCCAGAATGTAAATGTTACTTTTTAAGGTCATGTAAAGACCTTTTATTTACCATTTTCAGAAACTTATCTTTACCACAATTTGGGCCTAATTTCAATGGCTATTTCTTAAGCTAATCTTTTTCGAATAGATGCCGAAATATGGTACAAAATTTTGCAAATTCTTTAAGGACCTAAATTTTCGTCGATCAACTATTCCATGTAGGTAAAAAAATATTACTAACAAAGCTTTATTTCGTATTTATAATAACATTTTAAATAACAAAATCTCATCGAAAGTATTATAATAGTTGCCGCGTTTTATTTTCCTCTTTGATTCTATGTTTTAGTGTTTTTAAATTATCTATTGTACGATTTTTCAAGTATTGAATAACAACTTGTGAGTTAATATCAGATGTGTAAATAGGCGTAACTACAAAACTGTACACTTTATACATATAAACTAACTATCTACGATATGTTCGATTTTGCATTTAAAAAACATCTCACTTTTAATAAGTTTTGCCCCTTTTACCATCTGTTATTTTAATCTCTTAGGCTTACAGGACAAATATCATAATCGACCCACATGTTTTCAAACTGTTTCCTAAGTATGACTGGCGGAATTCGGTGCCACATTATATCAAAATTAAATAAATTACCATGAATTGATTTTGTTTTCTTATACTAATTTCATACTTGTTCACTTTTGCTGAAAACTGTTATATAAGAAAGTGTAAAATTTTTTAGTTTTTATGAAACTTTAACGTAAATTGAAAAGTCATGCCAAATATGCACCCTATCTTGCTTTATTTAGGTAATAGTATAGGTAATAGTGCTGTTGGCACAAGTAGTTTTATGCAAGTTTAAGAATAATAAGTTTTTAATAATATAAAAGTACCTTGTTCGAAAGTGACTTTTCTTAGGTGTATAAGATCAGCTTTGTTGGCCACAACTACTATAGGGCATGGAGGATGGGAACTACCTGGAGAAGATGGTCTGTAATTCTGAATGAGTCGACGCACTTCTTGAATATATGTAAAAGAATCTTTATCAATTATGGAATAGACTAATAAAAAACCATCAGCCCAATGTAAAAGTTCTTCTCTCGGGAAATCTGTAAAATTCTAAACAAAAGGTAGAATACGTTAACTACATTAGACTTACAAATAGGCAAAGTCCTTACAAGTCTAAGTTGACCATCAGAACAAAATTTTAATAAAAATGAGCTTGTATGTTGACCGCTGAAGTACTTGCCCGTTATTTTAAACCTTCGATAAGATTTAAGGCAATTTTCTTTACTGTATTAGAATTTCACTTAATTGGAAAAACAGTACTTAAATCTAATTTAGAAGCATAAATTTTAAGCATTTCACGTAATATTTTATTTTATAATTGAATTTCTATTTATTTCTTGCATTCATAAAATTAATTTAAGCCTATTTTAACCACTACTACACGTAAACTAAACATATACTCAAGTTTAATATAATCATACGATGGCTTACAAAATATGCCTGTAATTATTATTCTTTATACTACCTTTATAGAAAATCCTAAAATTAAAACCCTTCGTCATTGTGAGTCAGGCAATAAGTAGTTGTATGCGTAATAATTTGCTGAAATGCATACCATGTGCTCTATAGATTTCTGTCCATATTCATGTAAATGTAACCATATATTTTAGAATATAATAATTAATAAAAGTAATATAAACCATCTTTGATTGGGGTTTGTTTACTCATACTTATTCCTCTGTATTGAGGAGAAAAGATGAGTAAAGAAACATTTTGGAATCCCACTGTCTACAGAAACATTTATATATATTTCATTTGCAATAATAAAATTCAGGAATTTTTCCTAAATTTTTCATACATCAAAATAAAAAAAAATCATACGTCAATGCATAAGAAAATAAAAAGTATCCAATTACCGGGCAAAAAATGAAAATGCAAAATAAAATTTAAAAAAAAAGACTTAATATGAAATAAGAGCCCTGAAAACCTATTGTTATTTCCTTTTTTTTTCATATGAATAAAATTGTTGACTTGGATGAAATTTTCTTAATTTGTTTACATCTACTATTTCTGACTCTTTTTAAGCGAGAAATTTAAATTTATCAATCTCAAATCATGTCTCAGATAATTTCTTTAAAATTTTGTATGGACCCATAATATGGTGAGCTTAAATTACTTATGTTAGGATAACGGAATTCTCCGTAAAATACTAAATCACTAACTGTAAAATCGAGTTCCAGAAAGTGAGAATAAATTTTAGTTTCCTAAAAAAACTTTTCGGAATTTTTAACATATGTTTTTCTTGCTTCATCAACTAGAGGAAAAATATTTTGATTTACAAAAGAATCACAAGGTAAATTTTCCATTCATTAAACTAGCGAGAGAAAATTGAGTCACAGAATGGAGAGTGAAATTATATTCCTGTGTTACATCTTCTAATATTTTTATTCCACGGAACTTATATATAGAAGTTTCACTCATTTTACATCTACAAATTACTCTGACTTTTTTTACCTTTCCATCTGCTTAAGGGCTGAAGTTAATAACATTATAGTTCCTAAGAAATCTTCTAAATCTAGATGCTGGAAAGACGACCTTACGATCACTTAAAATTTTGCTAGGCTCGTGAACATGAACAATTTGTACATGTTACGGTTTTTACACTTTTAGAAGAAAAAGTCTGAAGTATCATGATCAAATATTTTTAGTTTGAGTTCTTATAGTTTTGCTCGCCAACAGTATCAATTGATAAAATTTCAAATGGTTGATCTGGCAAACTTTTCCACTCTTTCTTGATGAGTTTTTTTTTTTTTTTTTTGTTAATTTGGCAAGTTTCACAGCACTTAACATAGTTAGAATATTAATTATTATATTTCGCCATCAGTATAAAGATGATATTAAAGCAATATTTTAATACATGATCAAATTGAATATGTGTTTTTTTTCAGTGATCCGGATCGTAAAATTGGAATCACTGATCTGAATGACTTGTTTCGAATAATTGATCTGAATTACTTGATTCGAGTACAGATCCGTATCCTATTATTCGATACAATGGTTCGAATCCCTTAATTCGAATCAATGATCAGAATCACATGATTTGAATGAATGACGAGAATCACTTGATTCGAATCATTTATCCAAATGACTTGATTTGAATCATTGATCCGAATGGCTTGATTCGATTTATTGATTCGGATCACTTAATTCGAATCATTGATACCTGAATTGCTTGATTCAAATGACTGATCTGAATTTGAATCACTAATAAAATCACATTGTTCCAATCAGTGATCTGAATCACTTTATTCGAATAGTGATCCGAATCGCATAATTCGAATCAGTAATCTGAATCGCATAATTTGAATCAGTAATCTGAATCAAATGATTCGAATCAGTAATCCGAATCAAATGATTCTAATCAGTAATCCGTTTCAAATGATTCGAATCAGTAATCCGTTTCAAATGATTCGAATCAGTAATCCGAATCAAATGATTCGAATCAGTAATCCGAATCAAATGATTCGAATCAGTAATCCAAATCACTTCATTTGCAACACTGATCCTAATCACTTTATTAGAACCACTGTTCGGAATCAATGATACGAATCATGGATCTGAATCCCTTCAATCGAATATTGATCCGAATCCCATGATTCGAGTTAGTGATTCGAATCACGCTACTCAAATCCATGATCTGAATCGCAGGGATTGAATCAGTGATTTGAATCCCTTAATTTGAATCATTGATCCATATTGCTTAGTTCAATTTATTCATCTGAATAATGTGATTTGAATCAGTGATCTGAATCACTAATTAAAATCACATGATTCGAAACATTAATCAAATCACATGATTCGAAACGTTAATCAAATCACATGATTCGAATAGTTATCTAAATCGTAAGATTGGAATCACTGATCTGAATCACTTGTGTCGAATATAGATCAGAATCCCATGATTCGATTCAGTAATTCGAATCATTGATACCTGAATCTCTCGATTCGAATGACTTATCTGAATCCCTTGACTTGTATCACTAATCAAAATCACGTGTTTCGAATCAGTGATCTGAATCACTTGATCACAATCAGTGAGTTGAATCACTTGATTCCTATAGTGATTCGAATCACAAGCTTAGATTGTTTCGAATCACTTGATTCAATTTATTGATCTAAATCAAGTGATTCGAATCAGTGTATAGCGTAACTACCTCTACAAAATTACAACTACAATTCACTAGTATATAAGACATGTTAACTCGATTCTATGGTGGAGTTCCTTTTCATAGATGGAGGTTGACATGCTCGATAGCTACCCTCGCCCCACATTGGTGACCTTCGGACGTGATGTGAACACGCCTACCTTGGCAGTAACGCCCACTTTGATCTGGGTACGCCTACATTGACAATAACGCCGACTTCGTTGGATGATCCACATTGAATAGTTGACTTGTTACTTGTGTCTGCAACATTATCCACCTCCTCGCACTGTTGCTACTCAGTCTCGAGCACACATCGCCGGCCTGCATACACTCGACTGCCAAAGGCAACACAGGAGCGACCGTGAAGTTAATACACCTCTCACATTCAGCACTCAAAAAGTACGGTGATCTTAATACGGCTCTCCCGGCTTCGCACAAAAACAGCAATTATTCAACTAGTGGTATCCATTCATCGAATTCTATCACAAATATAATTCTGGTGGGGGAGTACTGTAGCGTAACTACCACTACAAAATTACAACTTCAATTCACTAGTATATAAGACATGTTAACTCGATTCTATGGTGGGGTACCTTTTCATAGATGACGGCTGACATGTTCGATAGCTACCCTCATCCCACAAGTGTAATCAAAATGCCATGATTCTGATCAGTGATCTGAATTACATGATTCCAATCAGTAATCTGAATAACTTGATTTCAATCAGTAATCTGAACCACTTGATTCAAGTAATGAACTGAATCGCATGATTTGAATCACTGATCTAAAATCACTCGATTCGATTAGTGATCCAATTGTATAATTCGAATTAGTGATTCTAATGATTTTATTCGAATAAATGATCTGAATCGCATGATTTTAATCAGTGATTCGAATCACTTTATTTGAATCAATGATTCGAATCACTTTATTCTAATCATTGATTGAATAACTTGTTTCGAATGACTGATCTAAATCCCTTGACTTGAATCACTGATCAAAATCACATTATTCTAGTCAGTGATCTGAATTTCTTAATTCGAATAGTGATTTTATTCACCAGTTCTATAATTAATATTGTTTATTTATTTACGGCACTTTCACAACGTTATTTTAGAGCTAATCGAGTGTTTCACATTACTTTGTCTCACTTCTTAATTTTGATAAAAACAAAATTATCAATAGCATAGTCACAAAACTATAACAATAAAAGGCATAAGTATAGATTAAGAACAAAAGAGATTAGTATCAGAAGAATTAAAGACAAAAAGAAATGTTTTCTTTCAAATAGATAATTCTTCAAAATTTCTTATTCTTCATGATTCTATGATAATTAATCCTAATCTTCTTAACATAGTAAATTGTATCGATGCGTAATGCTTATAAAAATAACAACAATCAAAATGTATCGAAAATTAAACACAATCCTGATTTTCACAAAATACATTTTTAAGAAAAAAATAGCAAAACAAAAATTATTTTAGGTTTCTAATGATCACGTAGTCCAAACCTTAAAAAAAAACTATGCATTTAATTTGTTTCTATTACCTAATTGTTTCAGAGTAAATCAGATCATTGTTCTATATTTCATGATTGCCAGATTTTAGCCAGGTTATAAATCACCTCAAGAAACCAGCTAAAATTAAAAAATCTGGCTCTTGTTAGAAGGGATATATTTCAAAAACTGTAATTATCTAAAAGGGAAATAAAATTGTTAATCAATTACTAGTGATTGTGTGTAAGGAGCAATTTGGAACAGCAACCTTCGAAGTATTTTGAAGCAATAACTTGTAAGCGTTAAGAAGCCTAAGAAGATTTTAAACTACTTAGAACAGCAATTAGAAATGAACGCAGTGTTAGACAAACACTTCTATACCAACTCATTTTTTAATATATCTCAAATTAGACTTTAGAAGCGATTTGCGATACCTATCAATGAAGTTTAAAGGTTTGAGGCGATAAATTATGAACAAAAAATAGTGTTTATGTACACCATGTGCCAAAAAAATATAGTATTAGGCTTGAATCAATTACTTTGGTTAACATATGCAATGACAGCACAAAATTTCGTTCAGCTTAAATATTCATGAAAATATAGATATTTTTATTAAAAAAAAAACATTTTTTGCCTTACGTTTTTAATTATGACTGCAGAAATATTCAATAAAATTTAACAAAATATTTAGATTAATTTTCAATTAGCAACAAAAATTAATAAATAATTAATAATATATCTTGTTTAATAGTACAAAATAAAATTTGTCAAAAAACCTTTACTGATCACAGCTATCTTTCCAAATTTGCAAAAACTACTTAGAAAATTGCAAGAAACTTTTTAAGTTTTCGTGATATTCAAATTGGGGTTTTCTCACAAATTACCAAATACGATTCAGAACAAAATTATGAAATAATTTTATTAAATATTTTCCGCGCATGCGCGGTATGAAAGGACTACTTAAAATATTCATATCTTGATTTCGAAATAATTCTTTTTTCAATTTTTTAAATAATATTTTTGTTAATTGAAATTCTGTTATTTGATTCTGTTATTTCTGAAGTTATGATAAAAAGCAAAGGCGAAATTTTTTTACAACAAAAATATCCATATTTCTATGAATCCTCAAGATATGTTTACAAAATTTTGTATTATTATTGCATATGATAACCAAAGTAGTGTATACAAATTACAAGCTTATTACTATATATTTTTGTTGAATAAGCTGCTTACATTTCTTTGTGTTCGTAATTCATTGCTGGCCCTCTAAAAGCTTTAAAAAATTTTTAATGTATGAGCAATTACATGGCACTTCTAAAGTTATAAGATAATTCGCTAAGTATTTCATCAGAAATATGAGTTAGTAAAGATATGTTTCTATAATTTTGTATATGAATAGTAAAAAATGAACTATAATTATTTCGAACAAATCATGCACAGTCTTATAGAAAATGCCTAATTTATAACAGATTTAGTAATTATAAAAAATGATTATTTTGCATCAATTTAAAGTACAGTTAGGATGCATTAGAATATGATTGAATTAGTCTGATTTTGAAACATTCTGGCCTCAAAAAATGCCTGCTTTTGAAGCTACTATGGTGATTCAACTACAGAATTAAAATCAATAACATTTAATCTCGTTAAGGAATAAATAACCTTAAGCGAAAGTTAAATTATTTAATTCTATCATTTTACTGCATACTCATTAATAAGAGTAATTTAAATACGTGTTTGTTAATTTTGAATAATAAAATATTAAGAAGCCATTAAAGACCGATTTTTTTTAAAAAACAAAATCCGGCCTTTTTCAGAAAATCTTCTTTCGCAAAGCTGCTTTATAACCATATGATTCCTCGATATGGGTTCTCTTAAAAAAATAGCATTTTTACTATGAGAAATATTGCACCTCTTTTTAATATTTTTATACATTTGGTGCAATCCGGTCTTCACAAATTGCTGCTAAGTTTTTAAACGTCAATCAAATAAAATAATTCAAAAACATTCTATTGATATATGCTGAAATATCTTACTCTTCTTTTAAAATTCATCAGTAGTAATAGTAAAGAATATTCAGTAAAAAATAGAACTAGTGGTTTAAAAATCAAAACAATATTAAATCTAAGTATTCTATCAGAATTCAACTAGACATTTATGACTGGAACAAATTGGAATATAAATTTAGAGCTCGAAACAAGTCGTTTAATGCTATGAAACTAAAATAAGTTGAAACGATTCTGAAAACGTTTGACAGCGATAAAAACTAAAGATTGTTTTAAAAAATTATTGCACAATGTAGATATGAAAGCACTGTAACCGAGAAAAATTATATTGAAGATAAATAAAACGAGATAGTTACAAAATAAAATTGTCCCGCAGTGGACTGATCGTTAAGACACGGTTCCCTGCAGATCACCGAAGTCAAGCATCACTGGCTGCGGTCAGTGTGCGGGTGGGTGACCACTTGGATCAGTCTGCGTAGGGACCGAGGGTGTGCGGTATTGGTCCTCGTTAAACTTTTCTACCGTAAAGTGCTCGACTTCGCGTGCAGGTAGTCGGGCTACCGAAGCGGGGGTGCCATCCCCTCTGCAGAGGATCAAAATTGTGATGGCATGTCTTCGGATCATTCCCAGACCGTCGCCAATAGCCCATTGTGCAGCTCTAGAGAGACGTAAATGAACTACAACAACAAAATAAAATTATAAGCCAACAATAAAATCATTAAGTTATAGTCGAAATAATTTAAAAAAAATGATTATTAAAGCACCATTTTTATAAAAGTGATAAATATCGAATTATTTCATTTAATTTTTAGAAAACTGTCAAAAATTATTAATTTTTCTTTACATCAAAAATAGTTTTTTAAGAATTTAAAGAAAAGAACTTAAAAAAATATTCTGTGATTTAAAAAAAAATATTGAGGAAGCACGTGCTATCCTCCTAACATTAGAGCCCACTTGTGCTAATTAGTAAAAGTTTAGTATAGTAATTAATAAAAAGTATAATGGCATAAAAGGAACTAAATGACTGCAAACTAAAAATATAATTATCATTAAAATAGTATAAAACTAATTGGTTTAAAATCATAAGAATATTAAACATACGGAATCCTAATTTTATTTAGAAATTCATAATTGGAACAAATCAGAATATAAATTTCAAAACAAGATGAAAGTCGCTTAATGCTAAGAAACAAAAATAAGTTGAAACGATACCAAGAAATAAAGACTATTACTAAAAACTAAAATTGCCTTTAAAAATTATTACACAATGTAGATAAGAAATCATCGTCGTTATGAAAAATTATTTCGCACATAAATTAAACTAAGTAATTACAAGATAAAATTATAAATTAACATTAAAACCGTTAAGTTACAATCAAAATAATTTAAGAAAATCCTCGATAATTTTTAAAGCACCATTTCCATAAAAGTGATACATAAGAATTATTTAATTTAATTATAGAAAAATTGCCTGGAATTATTAATTTTTATTTAAATATATGAATAGTTTTTTTGAGGTTTATCTCTTAGCAAATCTTAGGTCAAGTCTTATTAAATTAATGAGATATCTTCGAGAATATTGATTCATTGGTCATTCTGAAGATTTGAAGCAAGTGCGAAAATGATACGTAGCCACCTAGAGTCATAAAAGGATGTATTTTGTCATAAAAGGATGTATTTTAGGAATTAAGTTTTTGTTTCTTCTCGAGAGTAATTACACAATGAAGATGGGTTCTGTTAAAGAAAGAAACGGTTCGCGTGAACTGTTTTTCATTAACCGTTCTTAACCTTCAAGTAACACTATCTATAATTCTGATGATTTATTATAATAAATATACTTATATAAAATATATTTATTATAATAAATATTCTAAAATATCTTAAATAAAATATCCTAACATATATAATAATATCCTAATATATAAAATATCCTAATATATCCTAAATAAAATATCCTAAAATATACTTATATGAGAAAGCACATCTTGTTAGATAGGGTGGATGGAAAAAACACATAGAGAAAGAGAATTTTTCGGAGCACATATATTCTTCAAAGCACCTATGAATGTGAAACACGATGTACAAAATGAATAACCCAATTTCATAGCAAAATGTTATAAATTTCATTAAAAATGCATTGTTCGATACTTTTGTTACATAAATGTAATTCGTTGTCCAACTCTGATGATTTTCTCTTGGAATTTCGAATACCAATGACAGATGGTCTGTCTGACCGAATTTTGTTCAGAATTGAAACGTACAAAACGCCCTTTGCTATTGAGTGAGCCTTTTACGAACACGTTTTTCTGCCCGTTTTGTTTTTCCATCTATAAGTGAATATTCAAAACTTCTGCATGTATGTACACTTTTAATGAATACATTACAGAGGGCATAAATGAAATTGGAACATTCATTTTGACTTACTTGTATGCGCCAACATGAGTTCGTATTATTATTATTCTGAAGATTCTTTTTCATTTGATGGAATTTTTCGAGTGGATTTTATCTTAGCGTCTTTACGCATCATAAGCTATTTACTTAAAATAAGCAGTCTTTAAGAGAAAACATTTCTTACCCTTGGACATGTATCGACAATCTCAAATATAACAGGATCATTATCCACCATTATCTCGTTTTTATATCTGTTTTCTGAAATGAAAAAAAATATTTGGTTAATTCAAAAAATTGAACAGTTTATGCAAAATAAATAGTCTGGTTTACAAATCTATTCCTTAACTGTTTATGAAAAAATGTATTTTGCTTTGGAATGGATTTTTTAATTTCTGTATTTGTTTTGGTGCCGTTCAATATTAAAATAATTAATATTCATAATAAATTCAATGTCATAAATTAATCTCCTTTCTGAATGTTATGCCTAAAAAATGTCAATATCTTATATTGCAGTTGAGTGGCTGTGTTATTAATTGAATAAATGTGTCTTCACATATACGAGGGTGCATAAATTGGCTGTTGATGAACTTTCTCATAACAAAGGCTATTACATGAGAAATATTGGCATCAATATAAATAAACAAAGGTATAGAGAGTTTCATTATTGAATTCAATAATAAGTATTAATTTATTTTGTAATATTTATTAAATACAACTTAAGCAAGTGACCCAGATGTAAATCCTGGCTTATTATTCCAGACTGAGTTAACCACGAAAATATTTTCACTAAAAGACGAATTATACTTAATTTCTGTAACAGTTTGTTTAATGTTTTTGTAGTTTCCTTTCCATGTAGTAGAACTTCTCAAAAAATTTAAAAGAGAAACACAATGCCACGGAGTGGTTTTTTTTCTTGTTGATGCAATCATTGATCTATTATTTATTGCGGTTATTTTTAAAAAGTAATTTGAATGAAATGGCAATGAAAAAAAAAAATATAATTTATAAGATAAATACAAGGAAAACAAACAAAAACATATTTTAAAAAAGAAGAAAAGTTATTATTTTTTTTTAAAAAAAAAAGGCATCAGATATATTTTTAAAAAAATTAAACAGTTTTGTTTTTTGGCTTTATAATGTTTTCTTTTCTAAACTTTTTTTTAATCTTTTTTTTAAAAATAGTATTTATATTTTTCTTTCTCTCTCTCTCTATATATATATATATATTATAACAGTTTAAGTTATTCCCTCAACCAAGCGTGAAAACCAGAGAAATCGTTCGACCTATTTTTTGAGCGAGTAACAAGAAGTAATAATTCCTTTTTTGAATGTGGTTGAGGAGATCATCAGGATATGTTCGCAAGATTTTCCCTAACATTTCTAGTCGATTTTGTGAGAATTTCTTCTTGCTCTCCGTACTATGATTAAGTCTTGTTATGCATTTACTAAAACAAGAATCTTGAGAGCTATGAGGAAACAAGTTAAACAAATCGAATCTAACCAAATGAATCTTTGGAGAACAATTATTCGGAAGAAATTTGACCATGTTAAAATCCGCACAGAGTACAGAAGAAGTAAATTAAGTAATAGCTATGAATGATTATGATGAAATGCAGCTATAATATTAGTTTTAGAGGATCACTACCGTGGAAGTATCTCAGTAGAAATTAAAATGTTTTCTGTGGCATTAAATAAGTCAATTATAAGGGAATTTATATATGCTGTATATAACTCATATATGCTGTAGCTCATATAATATCATTCCGTGTGACTCCCAAATAATTATATAACTCATGTTTATTTATTGCAACAACTTTTAAATTTACATTCTGACAAATTTTGAGTCAATTGAGCTATCTTTAATTATCAAAATTTTCGTTTTAAATGTCATATTTAGTGGGGTTTCCTTTATCGAAAGGAACAAATTTAGTGGGTAAGACCAACAAAAATTAGAACTTTGACTTAATAGTTCAAAGGGATGATCTCAAATATGATAACTAATTAATAAAACTTAATGTATTGGATTTTGTAAAATTATCTCATAGCTAATTCCTAAATAAAAATTAAGGAGATAGCCATAAGTGAAATTACAGATTTAAATAAACATACTTTCTCTGAATAAACTTGCACTTTTTTCGACGGATTTAGAGTTTAGACTATCAAAATATGAGGGTTTGTAGTCAGAAAAGTGGTCGAAAGTTTGGACCCCTTAATGTTGATTTAACTTTTTGCGTATTTCGTCATATTTCAGGAACTTTTTTAGAGGCCTCAACCCTCGCTCTCTGTGATTTTAGGATCAATTTTTAATTTGTGTTTTCTTGATATTTTTTTTTTTGTACCAAACAAGTTTTTGATGCTTTAGTAGTGTCAGACAGCAGAATTCCTTTACAGAAAGGCAGAAACTTCATTATATTAGGAGAAATAAAGCTTGATAATTTTTATGAATATTTTCTCAAAACTGTAAGGCAACAACGTTTATGGTTTTGAGTAACGTTAATTACATAAAAACAAAGATACTTATCGAAAGTCTAAAAACAGGCAACTATTTATCGATCTATTAAAAACTGTTGATTTCTTAATTCTGCCACAAAAGGTTAACAAAGAATCTAAAATACAGTTCAATGATTCGGTAACAACCTTGTTTCGAAAGATACTGCCAAATAAAGACCACCATTCGTTATTTAATTAAAATTTATTATGTAGAATTTTCTCTCCCTATCTTGAGTTCCTCTTAAGTCAATTTTTGTTATAAAATTCATCTATCTAAGCATAATTCCATACAAAATAATTATTTTATTTACTAAGGGTCGTAAACAAAATTTTACTTCACTTTAAACTGTGCAATTATAAATGACGCAATGTTTGAACAAAATCAAATAGAAATAATTTTTTAAAAATCCGACTTTTTTTAATCAGGAAATATTATCCACATTTTCGATTTTTCTGATCAAATTTTGTCATTTAACACTGTGCAGTTTAAAATGGTGCAAAAATTTGTATGTCTAATACCTCAAAATGTTTTCGGTCCGATTAAATAAAATAATAAAAAGCTATAAATAATCTTTAAAGAAATTTTTTTTTAATGATAATAGAGTTTTATGATTGCATGCAAAAATTTTTCGATATCCCACATCGGATGAAATGCGTAAAAAATGAAATTAACATTAAGGGCCCAAAATTTGAACCCCTGTCATAACTAAATTATTGGAACCATGTTTTCCAGATTGCGATTACCCCATATTTTGATTGTCAAATTTTTTTTTCTTCATTTAGAGAAAGAACGCTTTTGTGTCCGATTCCCTAATTTCATTAATAACTCGAATTAATTAGCATATTTGAGCCTTTTCAACGATTAAGATTGGTACTTCTATCATGAAAATTTGATCATTTGAAAAAAAATTATTTAGAAAGATATTTTTTAATTTTGCACACTGTACAATACATACATTGAAAGACATGGACATGGTACAAATTATGATGAAAATAAAATAAAAGAGCTGAAAATTTGCTTCTTTTAATTTTAAGCAATATTTTTATTCAAATAAGCAAAAATTTTGTACAAAATATTGTATATATTGTTAATTTCTTCTCATCAATATTTCTTTGTTCATCAAATATAATTTTTCCAGTATTGCCACTAATACATAGAATACAAAACACCAATTCAAGAGTATTTGTACAAAATATTATATCTATTGTTAATTTCCTCTCATTAATGTTTCTTTGTTCATCAAATATAATTTTTCCAGTATTGCCAGCAATACATAGAATGCAAAACACCAATACAAGAGTATTTGTACAAAATATTATATCCATTTTTAATTTCTTTTCATTAATGTTTCTTTGTTCATCAATTATAGTTTTTCCAGTATTGCTACCAGTTTTTCAACACAAAAAATTTGAAAAGGGTTCGTGCAACAGCCTGTGTTGTCCTTTATTTCAAGAAATTTTTTGGGTGATAAGTAAACTTTTTATTCTTTTTGCATTTTTCACTTTAGAGTATTCTTATAAATTAATCATCCAATGAATACCTTCTTACTTAACAGAAGTGTTTTGTTATTGATCCTAAGTGTTTTATCAGTTATTATCATTTTCAGGAATTGCTATTAAAATGCAAGAGAAAAATTGGAAAAAAAATCTCACAATCTAAACGTATTTCGTGCGATTGTAGAATTTCGAAAAGTCCGAATTCGCGGCCTGACATATTTTCAGCCTAATCGATAACTGATCAAAATAGAAACATGAGTTCACGTTATTCTGTATTTAAAATTATAACTCAGATTTATTTTGAAAAGAAAGAAAACTTACCTGTTTGATGATCATATTCACCAATGAATCTTTTAGTGAGAAATCGGACTGTCAATGCTGAAAAAAAAAAAGCAAAAATTAGCTCTGAAACACAATTAATTACTAGAGTTTAGTGATCTACTTAGGGAAGTAAATTTTTTTGTGCTATATTTTTTCATATATTTTTTTTCTAAACATTGCAAAAAATAATTAATATATCCTGTTTGGTCTTATTTGGATCTTTCGTTTTAATTTTAATATAACAGCGCCCTCTATTGAGGAACGTTTTATTTAGTCAATTGAAAGTTAATTCTACTGGCTAGTCGTGGCTGCAAGATTCTTAATGAAGCTTGCTATGGTCTAAACTATTTGTATATAGATAGATTATTAATTAAAAATTTCATAGCCATTACTAGATTTGCCGTTAATTTGCCTTTGATAACCAACGACCTATGAATTCACCAAAATATTTTTTGGTCTTATCTCATGGATATGAATTTTGATTTACATAAGTAATAGCTACTACAACAGTGGAATTAAAAGCCTTAGTGGCTTAAATTTAAACTAACTGAACTGGCAAATTGTAGTTTTTATGCATGCGCGTTTGTGTAAATAACTTTCCTTGTTTTCTTAAAGATGGCGGATCCCAAAATGCTTAATCGGAAAAGTGAAAGCATCCGAACTAAAATCACAAAACTCATCGAATTTTCAAAAAGTGAGAATATTGAAAATAAGATTTTACTAGAATCGAAAATAAACGCTCTTGAAATAATAAAAGCTGAAAGGGGATTTGAATATAGATTTTATCTTCCAACATTCCCATAGGTTCAAAAAAATGTTTTGCTAAAAGATAGATGAAGCGTTAGTAAAAAAATCCAGATGCTGTTGAGAGAAAACAAACATATTTTTTACATCAATAAACAGAAAGGAAAGAGGTGTAGTAAATTGTAAAAAAAAAAGCTTTTAAAGTTCAAGAAATAAGTAAAAATAAACATTCTTGGCATTTTAAAGCTTCGTTTATCTTAAAAGAATTACTTAAGTTTTGTAAAACAAGAAAATTTTTTTGAATCGGATTAATCTTCTATAAACATAAGATTAATTTCAAAATATTAGATAACATATTTTTCACATCTTTCTTTAAAGAAAGAAACATAAATTATTATTTTTACTTAAAGAAACTATCCTCTTCAATCGGTAGTGATATTGAAAAAATAACCTTTATAATCAACTTTTGTTGGCAGACTTTAAAACTTAGTGGACGAAAGTTGTGGCGGCTCTAATTTTCTAATAAAATTAGAAATTCCCAGGAAAATATTACAAAATAAATGTTAATTTCAAATTATATATTTGTTTTTTTTTTCAATGCAGAGTAAAATGTTTTTTATATAAAGTTGCATTTTTTAACAGTTGAAGAAATGAATTTTAAAAAGTGTGTACTAAATATTGAGCAAATTCATTGATAGAAAAAAGATGTATGTCACAGATATATACGCCTTTGACAATATTTGACTTAGCAAAATAAATTTGGTATTTATAAATAACTTATATTTATGAATATCAGTTTTTCAATAGTCTCAAAAATTTGTTCTTTGTCTATAGTTCAATTAAGCATAAGCTTAAAAATGTTTAAATGTGAATTAAGTTTGTGACAATTTAAATAATTTTCATTTGAGTAATATTTTTATTTGATTTTCATAAGGACTTACAGAGACTAAAAAACCGTGTATTTTTCCATTTATTGAATTTTGATTGTAAGAGAATGTATTACAAAATGTGAGGTGTAAAAGCAGAACAAAATAGAATAAAAATAGTTTTTCAAATCATTCTTTGAGTATATCAGGAAATGCCTGCGTTGAACAGCCGACACAATTTTGAGTTTACGACAATTCCGAAGCCTTGTAATTTTGAACCCAATCCAGAAGACAAGATCAAGTATTGAGAGAAATTTGCCTTCTTGGAGGACTTTTTGATGGAACTAAGCATTAGCGTTACATGGAGAGAGAAACCACGGTTAGTCTGACGATAAGGGGACTCTAATCCATGACCCGTCTACCACTGAGGATATCATAACTGAGGTCGGAATTTGTATACACCAGTCATCAAGTCATTGGAAATCCACCACGGCTCCCCAGTTTGATAAAATGCAGCGGCGTTTTGTGCTGAGGTCTCGCCAAGCCTTTCGGTAGAGTATCAAGCATTCTCTGCCAGGCTACCCAACTGCACTCAAGAAGTCAAGTTTAGTTTGACCTCCCATATGAATGTGATCACTACATTTTTTAAGAGACAAAAAACTCATTGAGAATAAAAAAAATATGGTCGAAACTACTAAAATATGGTAACGTTGATCGTGTTTCTATCTCTAAGGAAACACCAAGTGCACAGTAATTTTAACCGAAGAGTTTTTGTAATGACTTTTGATAAAACTAAAAATAAAATATGGTTTTATTACCATAGCCAAGCAGTTTTGTCGTAAATGTGATAATTTTATCATTATATCTTATAGCAGGGCATAAGAACCATTCGCTTAAATTTAATTTTCAGTTTTACATTTTTACTAAATGTGTGGAAATAAGATGTACAATTTTGAAAACCATACAGTTACCATAAGAAAAGGAAAATTATCAACCGAATGATTTAAATATCGTATATTAGGTTTTGTTACCAGAATTATGTTTTTTTAAATTTTAATTATTTTTATTTCTTTAAATTTTTTTTAGCAGAAATGTTATTACCACGCACGGTATGTTTACCAAACCTTTTTACTCTCAAAAGCCAGTAGATTTTTGCTGAAAATTTTGCATACTTGGCAAGAGTTTCTTAAGACGAAACTGCATTGTAATGAAAAAATGAATGAATTTGCATGAGAGATCCCCCACTATATCATCCATTTCTAAGTGACAAAAAAGTTGATAGATAACAGGGTATCAAAAATTCAGCTGTTATTGTTTTATAGCTCATTAACTGTAGACAGTAATCTTGGTTTATTTTATATTGTTAAATTTGATAAGTTTTTAATATCATTACATCAGTAACTTAAAATTAAATGCTCAAAACAATTGGATGTAATTACAAAAGCAACAATTTTAAAATGAGAATCAAAGTATCAACCATCGGTTAAGCAATAAAACATTAATAATCAAATCCACGTTTTCTCAATTAAAAAAAATGACAGACACATTTAAATCTCATCCTATTTCTTTGCCAGATATTATTGCTATTTTTTGAGACACGCGTTTGAATTTTGAACTAAAATTCATTTGAAGGATACTGAATGTTGATAATCATAATTTTAAGATTTTTTAACAAAAAAAATAATTTAAATATAACATTCTTCTAAAACATCATAAAACTAGAGCATAGGTAAATGCGTCTTTTGGAAGAGAAAAAAATTAGAATAGAAAGATGAATAGTTTTAACGATGAAATTGAATCTCTTGGCTTGATTACTTAAAGAGTTTGACTTTCCTTGATCTCCAAATAACATTGGCGACACTCCAATATATGTTACTTTCACCCTTGGCCTTAGTTCGATTGTAGAAAAGAGAAACATCACCTTAGATATTTGACACGATGATAGAAAATAGTAGTTATAAAAATATCGAAAACATTTTTCATCAAAAAACTTGGAAATCGCTCTATATTAGATACAGATTTTATTGAGATGTTACGAATGACTCAGGAAATAGGACTTTAAGACAAAATAAGCCTTAAGAAATAATGCTTAACTTCATCACTAATAATAAATTAATTATCCTGCCCGACTGAAATATTCAAACCATAAAATAAGGACTTCTCAAATTTTAACAAAAATTGTCGAATCAAACGGTGGTATATTTGTTAAGACTTAAAAATTACTGAATTATATAAATAAGAATTTATCAAACGTAAAAGATTGTATAATTAAGACGGAAATGTAATTGAGTACATGAATTATTGTCTAAGTTATATAATATTTACACTTCTATAATAGGTACATTTATAGGTTTTGATTAATGTACAATTGAAGAAGATCACTCAGGCATGAAATCAGCAGAGATTCATTCTGATGAATAATTTTAGAATAAGATTGAAATTAACCACTAGTATAATCTTGATCAAGATTTTGTAAGCGACTAAATTTTCAGTTAACCTTTTTAAAAGCGTTTTGTCTCTAGAAATTATTAAAAAAACGTATTTTCTGGTAACCTCTACACTGTAAAAAATTTTGTTCCTCACATTTTTAGTAAACAATGAATCTACTAAAGAGTAGTGATATTAAGAGGAAGATTCATATAAATTATTGATTGATTTCTATTATATAAAAAAGACGATTCTTATTAACTTGCTCAAGTTTAATAAACTGATAGATTTTTTTTATTTCTCAAAATGTTTTAATCCATTAGATGCCGTTATGTCAAATGATAATATTTTAATATTTTCTTGGATGTTTTAGAATTATTGCATCTAATAATTTGCGTGCAAAGCAAAATAAAAGAACTGAAAAATTAGTTTTATTTTTAGAGCTTGTTCCGTAGGTAAATATTTTGTTTTAAATTTCTTATGGCAGATTAAATGACAATTGTAGACAGAAAAGCAGACAATAAAATTGAAAACATTGACGAAACTGAAACTACACTTCATCTTGTTCCGATTTCTCCCATTAGTGTCCCGAGTTCAGTGCAGGACAATTAATCAAATGATTCGAGTCTATTTCTATAGTTAAACATAAAATCATATCCAACCGATTCTTTGATGTTTGATGGAAGAAGAAAAGCTTATTATCATCTAAAGATTGCATACATTCAAGGCATTCCCGAGCATCTCAGTAATTTACTCAGTGTTAAATGACTATTCCCACCAAGAATCGATCAATTGTTTTGTTTCTTCTCATTCACGTCTGGCAAGTCTTGAAAATGAGCGCCTGTTTTTGGGAGCTTGAAACATGTCAACTGTTATTTCACATTTATGTATTTTTGAAGCGAATGGAGTCTTTAATCAAGCAATATTGGTCTTATGAATTCGGATCGGTGGCAGTGTAACTTTTTTTTTCTGGTAGATGGAGCACTTTTTTTCCTTAGAAAAAAAGCTTTATTAGTAATAAATTGCACGTAATGATTATTTTTTTTATAGGCGGGCACTTGGGGTTTGTCCCATTGGTCACAGAAATGCTAGAACTGCTACTCTCTTCTCGTTACCCAGTGGGCACCTGTGGCGAAGCCACGGCGGTGGAGCAGCATCGCCCACGTCACACAAACCACAAACCCGTTTATAGGGCAGGTTCCCACACAAAGGAGAAAGGACATAGAACACAGAGAGAAAGAAACATCCAGGCCCTGAGCAGGATTCGAACCCGCGACCAGCGGCTCCGCAGTCAGGCACGCTAACCACCAGGTCGGCTAAGTATTTGTCATATTTTGACTTATACTACGCCAATTTAAAACAGTGTCCCTTATTATGAACGAAAAACCTCTGTTGAGTTTTCTTGTTCATATTAATATAGTTGAGAACGGGAACCTTGCAGACTTAATATTTCTAAAAAAGGTAATACAAAATCCAATTGTTTTCAATTTGAATAAAAAAGCCATTTATTTAAGTTTAGGAAGATATATTTTTATGAACCATACGTGTGCATCGGAATTCTTTTTAAATAATTTCAATTATTTATTTCATGTTACAAAACTAAACAGTTATTTCCACAAAATTTTGATTTTTTGCCTTATAAGTTTTAAAATAAAAATGTACAGAAAAGCAAACCTATTTGTTTATTTAAACAAATCTGTATGTTTATTTAAATTAAATATAGTATGCTGTGAAAAGGCTTTGACAGTTTTATTTATTTATTATTTCTTTTGATTATTTAATTTTTTTTTTTTGATTATTCACAAAATTATTATTTTCTTTTTCGATTTTTACCAAATAGTTTTTACCATATTTTATATTATTGAATTCTAAAAAAAAATTTTGTTCCCAATTTTATATATATACCACATTAAAAAATTTTCATAATTTTAAAATAATTTTATAACGTTAATAAAAACGAAATTTAATTTTTATTTAAATAAATTTTAGAGGGTTTCTTGAATATGAATACAATTTTTTAAAGCAAAAATAGCAAATATAAGCAAAAAATAAGCAAATTTTTATTCTTAATAAGCATAAGTTATGTTTATCTATTGTTCGATAATTTAATTTAATACTACAGTTTACGAAACAAAATTTCTAAAGATTAGTACCTTTAAATTTGACAAAAGTAAAAACTCCTTTTTATACGTAAATATTGAATTTAGATTTTTAGTTTCGTTCCTGGATATCTTTTTAACGTTCA